GGAAGTCTATTATATGAAGACAAGTATTTTTATAGTTTCTAACTGAGGCAAGGGGTCGTATAAGTAATATAAATGTATTCTTAACCAAAATTATAGAAATTGTTTAAAAAGTCCATACAGGATTTGTTTGAAGTAGTATCTCAAGTAGTTTAACACTAGATAGCCGAAGGCAGTCATTTTGACTGTTTTTCAATTTCAAGTACAAAAACAATTGTGTATATTATGACCCAGCTTTTTAAAATTTGGTGACTTTTTGTACCACATAGAACTACGTTTATTAATCATAGAAGCTGCTTCCTCCCCTCTTTCATTCCCCGTATTCACATGTGTTATACCTATATTGCCTAAAAGCGGTAATTTTGACCTTTTTGAAATATTAAATAATCAAACTACTTTTATTATTGTATAAAGTAAATTTCTTATATGACAAGATCACTACAACAACATCGAAAACAGTTTGATACTCTAGAAACACAAACGAACACACAAATCGAGAAAAATAAATTTTATATTTCCATTCGATTTCACTCTTAGAGTAAAGACTTCCTCTTTTTTAACATTTTGTCCGCGTTCTTATTTTTCATAAAGGGAAACTCGAGAGCCCTCCCCATAAAACAAATAATAACAACGTTTTGTATGATTGTAAATAATGTAAGAAATATTAATAAATAAGTTTAAAAAAAATTCTTTACAAAATAAACATTTTTTCAGAATGAAGTCATTTTGACCGATTTTAGGCAATATAGGTATATACAAAATTCCCGTCTTTCTAGTGTTAAAAAATGTTGTTCAATTTTAAGTATGTAATAAATATATTTATATAGATTTTTTTGTTAATAGACAACATGGGCGTACACATAATGACAATACTTATACGATCTAAGGGGATCCCTATAGAGAACTAATCAAAAACTTCGTATAACTTAAAAGTAACATTATGTCACAACCTTTCGACGCTTTGGCAAGAATTCATAATACAGCCGAAGGAAATTGTGACCAAAAATTTAGATCCTTAGATTCTAAGGCTAACGAAAACGCTTCGCAAATTTAATAAACATTCAAAATGAATGCAAAAAGCATTAACGCCGTATACACAATGTCAACACTTATACAACTTTATATGAGGACTATGTGTACCTACGATCAGCAAATAATCGTTATTTTCCATCGTTATTCCAATACAAGCTCAATTGCGGTATAACCAGTTTAATGAAAGCTGAGAAATCCGGTTAAGGTATTACCGTTTTTGTAAAGGCCGGTTTAAGGAACACAAGCAAGCGAGAAAAACATTGAAAGAGTAGAAAATGATTCTTTATAATCGTGATATCACTGTCAGATCAGTTTGGTGATGATATTGAATTATCGTTTGGCTCGTACCAAATACAATAAAACGCACTTCAAAAGTGTTTTGGGGATAGGAATAAGACATAATGTCAATACTTATCCGACCTATAGAATATGTGCATGTGCATTTTTTATTTATAGTTATTGAAAAATAAGTCATTATGGCTTATATATAATAAAAACAGCATTACGATCAAGTGGAATTAAATATTTGTTATGTTTGGCTGTACATTTTTTAACCTTCACATGATATTGTCATTCGAAACCAATATATAAATTTTTATTCAATTATTTTTTCATTCATTTTATAGTTTTTGCTATTGTAATTAACTATATAATTTGTTGTAGTTAACTTCAGAATAAACAAGTGAAAAAAGCGTTAAGTTCGACCCGACAGTTGCTTGAAATGAAAAAGTAGGGAACATACCAAAAAGTGGACCTATACCGACAATTGTACGAAGTGATTATTGTAAACCATAATGTACACCAAATACTAATAGCAGAATTTTTAATGGAGAATTTTCTTAAAATCTAAGAACCCAAAACCGCGGACCGATATCGACGACGCATAGTAAGGTGGAACATGTATATAACATATCCAAAATACTGCAGTTTAGAGGGCAAATGAGAGATGGCCTCACATCACCAAGTTTTTCTTTCGGGGGGTGTATGTATGTATTTTGTATGCGTACGTTCCTGGGATAGCAACGGGATAACTTTCCCTAATGCTGGGGAGGATTAATGCCTCAAGAGTCTTTGCTAGTCTTCGTGAAATCGGCCTGTATGATTCACCTTGCCAAGGCTTCTGTAGCCCTGCCCATTATCCAAGCTTTGGGAACGACGTGGGATGCTATCGACAAATGGAGGACTTTGGTCAAGTATTCAACTTCGGATTCGTCCAGCTGTTTAATCTTTAGATAACTTAGTCTTACGAATGACACATACAACATCAACCATTGTAAACTGTGGTGGTACTTCCTAGGCGGGAAGAAATCTTATACGACATAGTACTCTTGTGTCGCCCTGTCGCTCTCAAGATGCTCGACGAACTGTCGATTAAAATGACTGGCGCATCTCTTCGGATCAGTTACAATTTCGTCGTTAAATGTGACAGAGGTCCTATCACCCTTCTTACCAGGGCGGCCTGCTTATGAGGCGATTATGGGGATTTGGTCTGAGCCAAGAGAAATGACTGGCTGCCAGTTGACATAACACAGTTGACAGATCTAGCGCGCAGAAAATATAAGTAGATTTTTTACTGTATGTTTATCGATATTTTGGATAAGAATAGATTTAGATGGACAATTTTAATTATTTTAATTTTAATTTTAATTTTTTTTTAACCCACTAAGCGCCGATTTTTTTTAGAAAAAAACGTAATTTTACTATTTTGAAGCTTTTTAAACATTTATTACTAAGCAACAGTTTTCGTTATAACTAATAGTACTCCTAAAATAGGAGCTTCTTTTAAAAATTCCGAAACATTTGGAGGGTAAAAAGTGGGTTAAGTGCAAACACTATTGTTATTATATGTATCTTTATTATTGTTAATATTATATATCTAAAACATTAAACTATATAATTTTATACAATTTAGGCATTACATAATAATACTAATCACATTCAGAATCCGAGTTTTGATCTGAATTATTTGGTAGCATTGGATCCTCCAGTAGTTTAAGGACTTCTTCAGCTAGTGGCTCACTATATCGATGGTTAAGAGGTGTACTACGAGACAAACTTGATATTTTTGGATCAGAAGAAAATAGCAACCTATTGAAAAGATCCCTCATTGTTTCCTCACGACTAATTTTTCTGGGGTACAGTTCCCTGTAGTTCCCTGCAGTTCCGAAAGTCCTTATTTCTGGATTCCATGGCTTCTTCAGACAACATTCCTATGGGCAAAGCTGCACATTTAATTACATCAGCTCCATGCAGTAATATTTCGTGTATGCTTGAAGGCATTTAGAACCAATGATATAATTCCACGAAAAGAATAAATGTTTCCTCAGTAAGTTTTTTAAATGACTCTGCGTTAATAGCATATCCACAGTCCATGGTTGAAAAGATGATACTAAAATTTTTAATTATTTTTTCATCAACACCAGTTATCGACGATGCCAAGCCAGGTTGGCTAAAAAAAGCCATAAAAAATTGCCATCGTTTGTTGTTCCAGATACTGACCTAGGTGTGTCAAAAATAATATGCATTTCTTCCTTCAAATCTGTAATGATACGTGCCATCTTCTGTTCGAATAGAGGCCGATCGGAGCTATTAATTTAACCAGTCGGTATGAAATGTGCAATATACATTCCAAACATCGAATCCTTGCATGTAACAAACTGACAAACTGTATTCGTATAAGTTGATGTTTGGTGTTAATGACGAAATTTTGTTGTAATTTGTTTATAGCGAAAAGCATAAATGTAGGTAAAACCGTGTATTCATGAATGTTAGACCAATGGTATTTTTTCAGGGTATTTGAGAAGACTCTTACAACCGATTTCGATGTAATTTCAATTTTTATTTAAAAAGACATTTGGAATAAGTGTATATTCAGTGCATGAGTTTCAAATCAATGTTTGGAGCAGCTTACTTAAATACACTCATACTCACACCCATTACTCAGGAACCATAGGACGGACATTTTGAACTTGTTTTGTTCTTATCTGCTATGCTGTGATCTATTCCAAGTCATATTTGATCAATTATGTCAACAAAATTCACAAATTTTTAATTTTGATTTGAATAAACCCTTAAAAAAGCATGTTTTAAAAAAATTACCATAAATCCGAGAGTGGCAGGAAGTCGCAGGAAAAAACTTAGTATGACTTCGAAGGCCTTGCAACGTGTGATGTTAGATGCTGCATATTGGGCTGCTGTTGAGGAGTTCTGAACGGTGGAGTTCGGTACTATTGGTAAAAGTTGCAGAATAGGCCTTCTGTTCAAATTTCCTATAGTGCTGTGGCAGATGTGAATATTTTAATTAAAACTGGATAGACAAATTCTTCAAAAATTAATGTTCGACCAAGGTCGCATTTAGTTTCAGAATGGGATGACTCAATAATTGATATGACATTTTGTAAAGCGTGCCGAGTTGATCCTCGCATGCAATGTACTAAGTTTTCTGGAATGTGGTTCGAATTTCGATATAGATGCCATACATTGTTTCGATTTTATCTATATAGAGAACCAAACTCCCAAAGATTGGACGATTAAGACCAAATTTTACCTACCTAATTGAGTCCAGAATGGCGTATTTTCAATTTTATCGAAATCTGTTCCGATTTACATAAAATTTCGTCCTTAGAATTTGGAGAGAGAGTTAAATGCGACACAATAGTAAAGGTTTCAATTTGCATGCTACAGTTGCACCACATGTGCTACGAATGCTTTTCCATCCTGATATAAGTATAGTAGGACTAACAGATCTGAATTATTAACTTTATTGAATAATTGTCTAAATTTTATTTTTCCTATCTTACAGATTTCATTCTATTTTATTTCCTAAAAGCCTCCAACACTTAAAGTTAGGAAAGTAGAAATTTCAATAGATGAAAATCCATATATTTTGTTGGTGTAATTCATATATGTCGCAACATACATGCTATTAACCGATCCATTGAATATAATTTAATTTTTTATAAAGGACTTACCATCAATATACACGATATGCCAAAAGGATAACACCACCATGTTTCCAGCGTTATTGTTGTTGTATTACTATATACAATGAATAGAGCATCGGTGCAAAGTTTGATTAACAGCAGGCAGCCAGTTCGATACAACAGACCAATTCTGTAAAATGGAGAAGGGGTGGATGGTTAATATGACGAACAAAACGGAACGAGCAGTCAAAAGAGAATAAAGAAAAATTGTAATATTTTGTATTTATTTACGTCAAAGTAAGTGCTCAAGTTAATAACTATAAACAAAGGATAATATAAAGTTTGTTTGTGTGTATGGGTTTCCCAGAGAACAATGTGTCAATGACATACAAAGCCTAAGATTTTCAAAGAATACCAGTCCGGGGTGGATTTTTTATATTTCTACATGTCCTATGTTTAATATTTTTAAACATATACAGATTTTAAGTAATACAGACAGATGTGTATTTTTAAAAATATTTTTTATGGGCCACAGACAGGCGTGGATTTTTTGACGGATAATAACAGACGTTGATTTTTTAAAAATATTTTTTGACGGATAATAGCAGACATGGATTTTTTAAAAAAATATATTTTCCAACATATTAACAGGTGTGTATTTTTTTTAAATATATTTTAAAACATTTTTCAAGGATTTCAGATAGGAATGGATTTAAAAAAAATATTGTTTTCAAGGACCTAAATTTGGTTTTAAGTATTCAAATGTTTACTGTGTTATCCCGCACTCTTCCACAACACACACACACACACATGCATTCACACCTACCTTTGTCGCATGGCTGTATTGAATTTATCCAGTTGATGCTGTTGATGTATTGATGGTGGTGTTGATGACTGTTGTGGCACTGCTAGGGCATTGTTTGTGCCACGACGATTTTTATGCCACAGCCATAAAAGTTTTTTGATTAAAATCGCAAATAGAGCAAAAAACAACAAAATGAACAGAATATCAACGCACAGAAATAAAATAAAACTCATAGATGGTCCAATCATTGCAGGAGAAGTGGCGGAGGAGGATATTGTCGGGTCACCACCCACTGCATAGATATCTTCATTGTGATCCATGTTAAACATTGAGTGTAGCGATATATGAGGATTTTGAGGGCGTGTTGAGGATGACGACCAGAAGGTTGTTGCCGGGGAGGTGGCAGCTTTTGAGCTATACGATGTGGCAGTAATTGTTGCCATATCCGCACTTTGCATTGTGGTTGTTGTATTAAATTCCAACACACTATCACCATTCGTTAGCAAAGGTGGCTCGGTGGTGCTGAAATGATTGCGTAATTGTGTAAAACCATCTGTAATTGTTGTCGTTGTAGATGCGGATGTAGTTGTTGTACTATAACCGCCAACTCCCGATGTGGCAGCTGTTGTTGTCATTGTTCCCATAGCAGTTACTGCTCCAGAATTCATGGAATGGCTCATAATTTCCAACCACCAGTTTTGTGGCCATTTACCGTTAATTGTACAAATTAAAGGCGATGTTATCGCAAACAGTAACGGCAGCAGCCAGCTAATGCCAATGGCTCCTCTAACACCAGATGCGGCCATTGTCATTTGTTTTCCGCCACTACCACTGCCGCTGCCGCGTGTCGTTGTCTTGCTGAATCTTGCCGGTGGCTTTAATAGAGCCGATGCTGAACGTCTTAGTAATGTATGCTGCGAATTACCATCATTGCCTCGCGATGCCTCCGAATCCTTGCGTGTGTTATGGACTGGTGTTGTCGTGGCACTTATTTGGGTGATACTTATATTATTGCTGCTGGCCAGCGAATCCGATGTTGCAGATGCTGATGATGACGAGGCCAACGACAATGGTGTTGTGGCCTTTTCTTGGTCCATTTTTGTTGAATGTTTGGTTTTCTTTTGTACTGCAGTTGTTGTTTTTTGTTGTGGTGGCGTTGCACTACCGGCCACTGTGGCCATTATGTTAGTGGCGGTAGCAGCTGGTGTTGTTGTAGTTGTTGTTGCTGCTGGCGTTGCGGGTTTCTTATTTAGTTGATGGTGATGTTGTTGCTGTTGTTGGTGGATTACCTTTTTGGGTACCAATTCCGAGTGTATCACTAATGCAATAGCAATTAGTGTAGAGATACCCAGGAGAAGTAACGATGCCAATGATGAACTAATTACCGGTTGCCAGTTCTAAAAAGGGGTAAAATAGAGAAGGATAATAAAAAATATTAGAAAATTAAAATTAAAAGTACAGGTAATTGTAATAGAAATTAGTTGATTCTAGAAAGTTTTGAAATCGGGTTTGATTTGGATAAAGATCCCATATATATTTTCGTTCGATTAATGCAAATAGTGCATTGAAAAGCCTATGGTTGTTCGCTTTACATGAAATATTGCAAAGGGTATTGGGTAAAGATGGAATCAGTTAAATCGGTTTATATATATTTTCATTCGATTTCATCTATATGGTGTACTAAATAATTAAAGTTTGTCCGATTGGGGCGAATTTGTGCACAACATACCAAATTGGACGTGTATTGGATTTTGTAAAATATAGTCCGATGTAGATATAACCGCTATCTATTTTTGTCTGAGTTCACGCAAATTATGTACCAAATAATAAACATTTCTCCGATCGAGATACAATTTTGGACAGCGCAATAGGTCCAGATTTTCGTATAGATCCCACACATACGTTTGATCGATTTCATACAAACCGTACCGTACAAGAATCCTCTACTGCCCGATCGACATGCAATTTTAAAAGATTTCAGAATGTGCATGGAATAACTTTCAAAAACGATTTACGCATGTCCGTCTGTGCGTCCGTCCATGTATTTTTGTAAAAAATATTACAGGCCGCATTTATGATCCGATTTGCACGAAATTTGGCACAGCGTACTGAATTAGGTGTATAATGTTGTGTGTTACGAGTGTTAAGTTTCCTGAAAATCGGTTCAGATTTAGATATAGCTCCCATATATATTTTCATCCGATTTAATGTAAATGGTGCAGTCCCTATATATCTTTCGATTTGCACGAAATTTGGCACAGCGTAATGAATTAGGTCTAGAATGATGTGTGTTAAGTTTTCTGAAATCGGTTCAGATTTAGATATAGCTTCTATATCTGACCAAATAACAAATGTAGTATCGATTGCAGAATGACATGTTCACTGATCCAATTTCAATTTAGTGGTCCTTTAAAAATGCGACGTCTGTTAGGATTCATCTGTTGAATATACCCAAAGTTGTGAAGGGTATCATATAGTCGGCCCCGTCCGACGTTCCTTACTTTACAATTTTTTATTTTGAAAATAAAATTATCGTTAACAAGCTGTTAATTTATTTCAAAAATACACTAGAAAAATTTACTTTATTACCATTTCTACAAAAAAAAAAAAAAAAAAAAACTGTAAAGGTCATTACTTTACTTTAACTTTCGTATAAACCTATTTCTTTTGATAACATCCTTGTAAGAGACTTATCATTTAATTGCGATATAAAAAAAACAACAACAATGTTCACCTCACATATATAATCCTTAGGAAATATTTAATAGCTTCGTTTACATCATTAACGTTTATTTCCTCCCCTTTTTATGTGCTCATAAGCGATAAAATGAAAAAAAAAAAGAAAAGGAAATAACTCCTAGCCATTTAATGGCAATCGATAAATAAAGGCGACCAAGATGATATATAGAAAGGATTGTTGATAAGTCAATTTATTTTTATTTTATTTATTAAAATTATGTTCAATTTATTATATTCGTAAAGATGACATAGATATTATGAAAGAGTATATTATATAGAGATGGAAAATGATATATAAATGTGCTAAATTTTTATTAACCGTGGAAAATGGAGAATTTGGAAAGAAGGGAAATGTTCATTAGTAATGAAATGATGATTAAACCTTCAGCGGTTTTTGTAGAAAGTGTGTTGGGAATCTTTCGTTTTTTTGTTCGTGAGATTGTCGACATTTTTTCAAAAATTATGTTAATAAATCTTGAACGATTTTGTTACCCACACTTCAATAGATATTTTACTCTGCGACGACTTGAATATTAAGCCATAATCCAACATCCTCTCTGACCTCCTTGAAAATAATTATTCCACATTTCTTATATTGCTTCTATTTTTTTTTTCACGTGCCAACAATATCACATTACACATGATTAAAATAATTTACATTTCACAGATTTGTGTCATTTAAGAATTCAATTATACGAACTGTGACATACATATGTAACAAACAAATATTTGTTCATATAAATGACTTACGATTTGTGTCATTTTTAATGAAATTAATAAAACATACAAATAATTATGTTTGCACTTTAAGAGATTAATTATTTCTTTTGTATTCTTCTTCTTGAATATCTTAAAATATAATGGAATTTTAATGAAATCCCAAATAAACATTTATGTATGTAAAAAGAAACACATTATCGTAGGCTTAATGATATATGACACAGCATTTACATAGAGAATTTAACACTGTAATACTGATTTACAGTGGCTCGCAGTTATGAACAAGTATAGAAAATTCAAACATCGAAATATTTTTTTCGCGAAATCTGAGGAAGTTTTCATTATTATTAGCTATAAAAATAAAAATAAGTATATTAAAATAATATTAAAAAAAGACGAGTAAAATGTTAGTCAGGCCCGACCGAACCTGTATGTCAGTGATTTAAAAATCATAAAAAATTGAAAAAAAAATTCTGTGGAAATAAGTTTTTTATTTACCACGAATACGGAAAAGGGAATTGACAGCCACTTCGGACTACCAAAATGGGTCATGTCCCTCCTTATAGGGAGGATTGATCGATGCTCGGAAAACATATTTTCCAAATTACAAACACTTCCGGGAGAAAATCTATCTTAAGGGGACCCCCCCATTCTAGGTGTCAAATTTGATTTAATTCGAATCTACTCTAATTCTAGAATGTCTCTACAAAATTTCAAGTAAAAATCTCAAGAACTCTTGAAGATATAGCCGATTTATTGTGCTAGCATTAAGTGACTAGGATAAAGCCAATCGGTGAAGAACTTCCTTATTTTTTAACTTATTTTGTGGTCAAAAATATGAGATTTTCCAAAAAAATTAAAAGTTCCGCTATTTTGTTAATTGTTGTGCGAAGTCAATAATCCTGGTTCATACGAGAGCCAGACATGTATGATCAATATTGGTTCAATTTTTAGGATAGTCTCCATATAACACACTGCATTTTGAAGTTTTGGGCAAGTTTCACTGGGTACAAGATCTGATTAAATTACGGTATTTTTTTCAATTTTCATAACTGTTTTTTTAACCGATTTCTCAGGTTCTCATAGGGTGTCACGTCTTCCTACCAAAATTGAGCAATTCCGATGTATTTATACCCTACACAACTATGTTGTCAGAAAAAAGTTTGTAACGCCGCGAAATATTGGTCCTTATGACGATCGGTATACTGATAGTCATATCTCGACTAGTTGAGTCGATCTAGACATGTGTGTCCGCCCGTCCGTCTGTCCATTATAATTTGTAAACCCGATACATGGACCAATCTTCACGAAATTTTGTATGTAGGATGAGTTCTGGCCAATGAAGACCCCTATTGTTTTTGGAAAATATCAGTTAATATTGAGGTGATGAAATGGACCAAAAACATTATTTTTGTCCGTTTTTCTGGTCGCTCCAGAGGCCACAATTATGCATGTTTTGATAAAGATCGGTCAATATTTAGCGGATCAAATGGATCCTAACTATTGTGTGAAAAATGACAAAATTTTTATTCTATAGCGTATACATTTACTCCTGAAGGACTTTAAATTAATACCAATTATATTGTCGTATGTACTCCGATGTGGGAGATACACTTAAATATTTACAGGTGCTTACGTACTGCGATATTATTTAGTAACCCATTACCACACTAGAGGGCAGAATATAGCGCTGATCGGTTTGGAATTTTCCATGAGATTCCAGTTGTGATCAAGGACAACGCATATAAATTTCTGTGATGATCAGATAAAAATTTTGGGATGAAATCGAAAAGCCGAAAAAGGGCTGTACTGAATATTAGTAATAATCGGAATATATGTTACTGTAAGGAAGAGGTGCTGTTGACCCCTAATCGGGCAAGAGGGTGCAAATATCATGAAATATTGCCCAGGCTCGGAATAAACATCCGCAGAACGTTAGAGTTTCGTGGTAATTGTGTAGGGTATCGTATGGTCGGCACCGCTCACTGGTTTTAGTATAGCTCCTAAATAAATGAACTGACCCATTTTGTTATTTTGAGGGCTTACGCCTCATTTTCCCACCGATGTGGCTGTAATTTGGAATAAAGCGATAATGATGGGTGGCACCCACATGTATATATATATATATATATATATATGCAGCTGCGGTCAAAATAATAGCAGCGTATTGCATTGAAATATTCCTACTGAAGAAAACCATATTCTTCTTTTGAAATCGCTTAATGTTTTTTGTTCAGATTATAGTTAAAACGTTACCAATTGCTATCTATTTTGTAATTTTAACAGACTGTTTTGTATTTTGAAAATATTGTGTAAATAAAATAGCAGCTACAATGAAAACATAACATTAATTCATATTAGGTTCTTATATAAAACCGAGATAAAATACATTATTTTCGTGGATTTTAATAATTTGTTGCACAATATTTGGTGCGTAATACTGCTTTACATCGTGTTGCATTAAATTGACTAAGTTATTACATCTTTCGCTTGGACTTTTTAGTCAAGGTTCTTAAATGTCACTCCAAAACAAATTTTTATTCATGGGTTTACCTATGACGGCCTTCTTTCTGAAATTGAACTACAAATTTGTAATCGGATTTAGATCCAGTGACTACGCGGGCCCTTCCATAATATCTATATTGCTGTCCTGAAACAATTGTTTTGCTAATTGACTGTTTTGAGTTGGATCATTGTCCGGTTGAAATTTCTATTTTATATGCATTTCATATTCAGCATAATATGATGCACCATTGATCGCCATCCATTGTGTATAAAATAATATCTAGGTCTAACTTCGCAGTACAAGAAAAACGCTCAAAGCGTCATATGTGATCCACTTTCTTCGATAGTTTTAGGGATCAGATTTTTTGTTCTGTGGACGTCTTATATATTGTCCGGATCCAGTTCCACCATTAAAAATTATCTTGGAATCTGA